TGTCTTTTAATGTCAGCCAATCAGAGCGCGTTTTACAATTGTTTATCGCCGTCTCAAGTTATGCAGACTTACCAGTGATTGACAGCTAGCGCTTTTCCGTTTCAGTCAAGTTTCACCGTCGAGTCTTTTAATGTCAATCGATCGGAGCGCGTTTTACAATTGTTTATTGCAGCGCATAGACACATCTTCTATCACTACCTTCAGTCTTCCTGCGTGAACGGGAAGGATTATTTTATAGAGAAGCTCACGAACATCCTTTGTCGAAACCGAATCAGTTATGAGTTATCCAATTTCTTGCAGTTCACAAGGGACTGACGAGTTAGCCTCAGATCACACGGGATGTCTTGAAACGAGGTAAGAAAAACTTTACCCTGATGATGGCAAACGGGCGAAACCGTTTGGTTCAAACATTTTAATTTTTTCCTAATCTTTTAGCCTTGTATAGAATATAAAAAATTTACAGTATTCCCTTTTAAATCAGTATGTTATTTTAAGTCGATTTTAAAATAGCTTTGCAGTCTTTTAATGAATATTGAGAATAATAACGTTTACATGCAAAAACAGCTCGGATCTGCTGGCAGTCAATGTTACTCGTGGCGGGCCATAAGATGTTCCCAGTGAGGACAAAATGGAAATTTATGGAAATTATGGAAATTTATGGAAATAAATGTTCGTTATTATCACCAGAAAATCATAAAGTACAAATACCAATTCAGTTAGTTTTAGGTGTGCAAATGAGCACAAACAACTTATTGAGCTTCGTAGCACTTATGCATGCAAAAAAAAGGGGGGAGGGGAGGCCCAAAAGTTTCCTCTTGAAAGTTGAATTTTTCATCTAACTATGCCCACAAATCCATTTGGAAAGGTGAAAAAAATCGGCTGTAACAGTGGAAATCCATGAGGTGCCTCTTTCCTCTGGTTTCCGGTGATATTAGAGCTTTGAGCGTTGAAAGACGAACGCTCTTAACTCTGCGCCATCTCAAATTCCCTTCTCCGGACAATTGTGGTTCATTATCGAAAAGAGGCTTAGTTCCCTTTGCAATTCTCGTCATAATTGAAGAACAAATTGCGAGATCAGACTACCTAATTTGAAACATTAGGACAGAGCTTGAAGGGAAAGTATAGAATAGCTTTATTTTTTATCTTTAAAGGGAAAATGGCCCAAGATCTTTTGGCAGAGATGACGAATCGTTGTCTGAGTCCGAGGTAATCTCTACATTTTGTGGATCAAAATGCAAGAAATCAACGGTTCTTTCTTAAATGTTTAATGTTCCTGATGAAATTGGGTCATGTTAAAAATAAATAGTAAGCATGAAAACCAGACCGAGTTGAAAAGAACAATTGCTTCTCTTGCTATCATGATCTCCAAAATATTGATGGTTCGCCATTGCTTGTAGGAAATAAGATTTTTTTTACATGGGTACCATTTTGTTTCTTAAATAAACTCCATATGTTAATGCGAAGTTACCTAATCAGATGCCTTAATAGGGTGAATTCATGATTATCGAAACAGGGTGATACTAATTTCGATGTTTTTTCTCAATTTTAGCGCAGACGTTCTGATCATGATAATGTAGCAAGTGGCAATAAGCGCGAAGTTGAGAAAAGTAAACAGAGACCCAACCGTGGAACGCTTTCAAATGGCGAACGTGACACTGCAACAATTTTTCTCAACGAAGAGCAGTCCCAAGCAGTTATTCACGTGATCAATGGACATGATGAGCCAGTAGCTTACCAACAGGAGAATGATGAGCAATTCAGTTACCCCACTATTGCTGTCTCGCAAGAGAGCCAGCAAACAGTTAGTCAGCCACAGCCAGATGAGGAACAAGGACTGTTCCAGTGCCACCAAATGTATGATTGTGCTCTCGTAAATGCAGTGAGTTCCATGGGTCCCACTCTGCAAGCCATTGAGCATACCTGTAACAGGGAGGAGTTTCGGTTATGGAAACAAAAACTTGACGGGCAAGTATTATGCATTTTTTATTACTATACATATCTGAACATAAAAGAAAAATACAACCAGTGAAGCAAACAAACAAGCAAACAGTATTATAAGATTTCGACATTAATTAATGTAAACAATAACAGTGAAAGTAATGATATTGATGACAGATGCAAAAGCCTTACAGGCACAACCACTCGTCTTTCATGACAAAGTTCAACTTCCAGGTATTGTCCTTAGTCGGGTCAGATGGAAAATATTTCGCTCTGAAAATCATTTTGCGGCCTTTTGTTGTCAGATATGACGCACAGAAAGCGACAAGGAACAAGAGAAATTCCGGCGAAACATTCTTCATTGAGATATTGACACAAATTGCACAGCTTCGCCAAGTTGACGAGGACGGAGTTGCACCCGCCATCTTCAGCCCTGCGATCTATTCTGACAGCTTTGAATACAAGGTGGGCATACGACTACACCCGAATGGCGTAGACGAAGAGGAAGGCAGATATGTCGCTCTCTTTGTTCACATGATGATGGGAGAATACGACAACGCGAGTGAAGTGAGATGGCCATTTACTCAGAGAATCACTGTGTCTATCTTAGACCAGAGTGACGCCAAGCGTCACATTAGCCACATTATACAACCCAAGCCACACCTTGCAGCTTTTCAGAAGCCAACTGAAGCAGTCAGTCCTACTGGATATGGTTTCATTAGGTTTGCTCCTATCGAGGAGGCGTTTAGTTCTCCTTATGTAGAAAATGATAGGATGTTTATCAAAATTCAGTTTTCTGCCTAGCAATATTTCTCTCTCCAGTATTAATACTTGATTTGTTTGTCATTCTTTTGGCACTGATTTAGGCGCAAAATGTTTTAGTACAGTGTTTGTCTGAGGTCTGAGGTCTGGCACTGGTGGTCTTCATGATCAGAAAAAGCAGTGCACAAAAATATAGTTTCCATTGCCTCACTCTGTTAGAGAATGTACAAAACTACGTGCTGTATACTGTTTTCTGTGAGCTTGTGGTTTTTCAATGCCTTCTCAGTGGAAGCCTGTTTGCAGACGACCTTCTTGTATGCGTAGAAAGCGAGGCATAAAAGACAAAGCACTAAGTGAAAAGTATAAAATGCATACATATACTTCTTTTATAAGGTATCGACTGGTTCAGGTTAAGTAGAGAAGCTGCGGGCATGAGTAAGGTCGAGTGGAGTAACCTCCACGCTAAAAACTGAAATGAATGCGAGCGATCTCCAAGGAGCTCTGTCATTCATTTGGTTTTTCACTTCCCGCTAAAGAATCAAGGCTATTATTTTGAGCTCTCGAAGTCATGTCATCTTCTCCGACTTAATCAACTTTCAGCCTATTTTTTTTTATTATCTCCGAGTTGTTCTCCAGTTGAGCGCAATTGTGTGGCAAAAATTAACCCACAGAGTACCCAAAGAGATGAAATTAGATTAGACATAGTTAAAGACAAAGCTTTGCTTTTTACCTTTTGCATTCTATGTAGAATGTAATCGCAGCTTGCTGGTTGAAACTGATTTTCATGGGAAAATATTTTTTATTGGTATATATATTAATCTATGTAAGTCTCCTGTTATTCTAAATTTGGTCCTATCAGGGTTCAGGATTTCTCTTCTTGGAGTGTACTAATTTCTACTGAACGTGTGACGATTATATAAACTATGCTATTTTTTCAGCGAAGACGGAATTTGTCTTTTACTACATAGAGGCAAATAGTTAACAAATTAGCTAGGTGTTTACATACCATGTAAGTGAGATGTCGCTTATAATTTGTTTATCGGCTGTGCCTCAGTAATTTGCGTACAAAGTAGTTGCTTTTGGGTCTTCACTTGAAGTCAAGTCGGCTATGAAAAAGGAATGCGATGACAATAAGTTGGTTATGCCGCTTGCCAAGTCAATCTGTCCTTTTTAGTACAAGAACTTTCTTGAGCTGTCGTAAGTCCTGTAGGTGTTATGGGTAGTGACTGTGAAAAAAAAATTATCTATAGATTTATAGAATGCCTTGTAATGATGACTTGCATACATGAACTTTCCAAGGAATTAATAAAGAAAATAGTTCTGGAATGTTCTGGGGACTCAATCGTGTAGTTGTAGCCAGTTGCTGTGGTCGGGAGTGACAGACTGTCAGGAAAGCTATATCGAAAGAGTGCTACTGGGTACGATTGTTCATATCAAGGAACTTTGGAAACAACTGTCTGTTGCCGCTAAAATTATGTGGAAGTTGTTCATTATAAATTCGTATTTTTTTTTCTTTCCGTAACATTTGCTTTAAGTTCGTTTGTTTTCACACGCATTGTTTTTAACGGTATTGTTACCTTTTTAGCTCATTCATGGGCTTGCACAATGAATGAGGTATTGTGAAGGGCCATAATGTAATTATAAGCGGAAGTCCGTAAACATTTTTTGTGGACTGCAGACAGAAGTGAATGAAACCTGAAGTGATTTCTGATGTTTCTCACCACTCTTTCCCACTTCGCCTTTGTCATAAGGTCCAGATAAACTTCGATGTCGCTCTAAGCAAGTGCAAATAATAAAATAATGTTTGTATGGTGTAATAAATAAATTAACATCAAGTCATAATTTCGCAACTTCTCAAAATTGCAATATGGATTGAGAAGCCGAAATGTTCGCAGCTAGGGGAACCTCGATCGGCTACTTTGTACACCTTAGTACCATGTTCACGAGACAGTCCATCGAGGCAGCCATATTGGAATATCACTGAGCTTATTTGAGTTCGTGTTGGTAAGTACTAAATCACTGCTTTATTATTGTGCTTTTCCTTTGGAGCTCTTCAACATGACGAGCTTTGGACACCAAAAGAATTTGGCCTCCTACCGTGTACCCGAGGCGTTAACTCCTGTCAGTTATGCTTGTGGCTGTATTGACTTTTGCTGGATGAAATCAATTAACACTTTTAACATACAAAATATAAATTAGCACGTTCCAGGAAACCACGGCAGATCTTGAAATGGGATACTTTACAACATCTGCGGACTTCGGAAGCGAGCATTGTATTTTCCCACCCCAGAAAAAACTCAAACGCATTACAATATGCGAATAACTCCTTCAAACAGCTTTTAAGCATTTCAAAACGTGGCTTAATTTAGTTGAATTGTGGATGCGGCTTATCACCAAAAGTCAAAGGATATAAAGAAACATATTGTGCAGCGCCCAGATGTTTTGTAAGAGAGCGGTATCAAAAAGGGCACCATTTGTAAGTACTTGCTTCCTTTTCAATTTCACACTAATGCGAGCGTCAATCAAAGCTCGTCATGTCTAACGCACTTATCAACAATAGCGCCAAGATAATGTGCGGCGAACTTCGATCACAGCCGACTCGGTATGTAGCGAAACTGGCTTAAATTCATTATTACTGTCCATTTCACGCTTTTGATACAGACTTCGAATGGAATGATACACTAAGCTTACTATACAACACACCTAAACAGTGTCAGTCTTAAGAAAATTCGCCGAGCAGCGCAAACAACATGATGATTATAACATTTCAAACACTGTTTGCGTCACATTCAGCAATATCCAATTTAGATTTTTGATAGTTAGTCATTTGTAATGAGCACACTAGTGATTTGTAATTATCTGTCCTTTGTATCTAATGGTTAAATATTGTGCTCAAAAGAATTGCAGCCGAGATAAATCATTGTTTTGTTATCTATATTGAGTGGAGCAACCTTAACTTTTGTTTTATGAGTTTGATGAGGCTTGTTCCTCGTAGGTTCGGGAATTATCAGAATCAAATATTTCATGTTTAAAGCCAGTGGTGGTCAACGTCTAGAACACTTCTATGCCAATATTATCGCCGTCGTATTATCGTCAGTCGAAAGCTATGACTGATAGCTGGTCGTACGCGTCTAATTTTTCCGCGTACACGGTGTCGCATGTGTATATAAACGGGCTTCCCACCCAAGATATCAGTAGTCAGCATCGCAGTGCCGAAGGTCTAAACAAGTTACGCATCAAAAGGCAGTCGGGTGGACACTCGCAATAACTTTTATTAGCAAAATTTAGGAAAGTCGTTCCATTATGAGGTATGTACGTGAAAGAGTGAGCTTAGTTATTTGAGACAAAACCTGTAAATCTTAATGCTGTTTTTATTCTAACATTTTGGTCCTAATTTCGATGCTGCTGCTAGAAACTATCGCCGCTGTCGCGAACGCTTTTCTCGTCTCATCATTCATCTTTATCGTCGGTGATTTCAATAGCAATCAAGACAGCATGGTAGAAAATTGAACTTTATCTTTAGATTGTAACTATAACTAAACTGACAGCTTGCTTTTTCATATCCAGCCCATTGATAGTAAATTCCGGTGAAATCATTCTTACAGCGTAAGTTGAGCTGAGTTTTAGAAAGAGATGTTACATATCTATCTCAGTGATCGTTGCAAATACTATGATTGAACTAATTTAACCTGACTGAACTTTAACTGTGACAACTAACTGTGCACCTCTTTAACATGACCAAATATGGCAACCGAGGCATCTTTTTTCCATGAGGCAACTGAAGCTACAGTTTTTTTAAATGCGTAGGCGATTTCCAAAGTCAACAAACGATCTCTTGAAAAAGAAAGGTTCTTATCCTTAACTGTAAAATGCAAAAGCAGGTAGGAATTCTGATTTTGTCCTTCTGGAAATCTCAAAGATGGCGGCATTGTTTACTTCGTTGTCGATCTCAAAATACGATAAGATACTTGTAGCCTCTGTTCAAAGCAAACCGATTTTAGAAGATGATAATTATACAAGGGGAAGAATTAATCAAACTCTGCCTAAATGTATTTTATATTTATGGACAGCATTATTTTCCAAAGAGCGGAAAGTACATGTCATAAACGAGCCATAAAAAATGTGATTTGCGATTACGTCATCATGCCCTTGTGTGCAGGCAGAAGAATTCGATAATTTTTGTAGTAACCCATCGCAAACACATTAAACGAGATATTTTTGTCGCTCAGATGCAAGCCGATCAAAGTTTAGTTAAGTTTGAAATAAGAAATTTTTACGATGAATTGTAATTGATAGCTTTGGATGGAGTTTGCATCCGTATTGTTATGAACTAGATATTGAAATGTGACTATATGAATAAATTTAAAATTACAGATCGCCGGAAACACAACGGAGTTTTTAAAAAAAAAAAAAACAAGCCGAATGGCCGTATAGCACCGAGGAAATTATAAAACTATATCATATATATGTACATGTGCCGATTGACTTCATCGAACAAGACATACACAGACATACACAGCAATTCATATAGTTTTTAACATCATATCAAACCAATTAATCGATACACGTATTTTAAATCCTGTATTTCTATTTTCCAAACTTCTAGCACTTTCGAGTCCAACAACCATAAATGGATGCTCGTAGAAGCCTGCGGAGTCAAATCAAATGTGATCTCTGAGCTCTAATTTGCTATTTCAGTTGTAGTCAGGTCTACTGACAATGCAATAGGGCCGCTGTAAACTGAAATGTCAAGTGGGTCATGGCTTAGTATCAACAGAACCCTCGTACTATACGGGTCTATAATCGACAGTTGTTAAGTCTGCATATTCCATACATCTGGCGACCATTAACGCAATATTTAGGCATCCCTCTCATTATCTAGTTAACATGTAAAGTTCCTCCGAGAAAGACTTCACCTTAAGAAACGTCTTTGTCGATGAAATCTTCGACTTCGTAGACTGTGAACTCAGAACTAAGAGTTGTCATGTTCATCGACTTCATCTGACCAATTAACATCAGACCGAGACATGTGATCAAAGTATGAACCAATTGTTTTCAAAGTACAGTAGAATGAAGTACAGCTCAATAAACCGTAAACTGAGCTCCCTATAACCAACTTTCGTTTCTCCTTGAGGGGTTGGCTACGAGTAGGCTCCACAGTTTACAGATAATGGATTATCTTTAGTAGTGGTTGAAACGGTATTCGAGCATGGAATCGAGACACATCTGTGAAAAACCAATGACTTGAACTACGGAATTATAATTACAACAACATTTCATTAAAATCATTCGCCGATACCACTGGTGAAAGCTCAGGGCTAGCTTTTTATAGAGCAAATATACTGGAGTATATTTTTTGGTTTGACCTTACATCAAAAGCTCTGAGAGTCTATTTATTCGTAGATTCTTCTTTCTACGATGGAAAAATAATTTCTTAAAAAGAATTTATAATATAGATAATTATGAAATACCAGGATTTTTCCTTACTTAAAAAATCATATCGTTATCGCGCGCAGTAAAGACACTATAGTTTTATCTTTTACGTGTGAGGATATTGGTGTCGCCATAATGGTTACTAATATGGTTAATTTTGCTGTTATATAATTTTTTCCTTCTTCGTCAGAATTTTGACGTTTTGGAACAGAAAATATAAGAATTGTTGTCTTTATTTCTCCTTTATATCATATCCGAGTTTCATGATATTTTTGTGATAGGCATTTTGCGTGCGATAGGTGATCACTTTAATTGCTGTTTCAAAAATGAATAAAAAAGAGTTGTACTTTATGTGGACATCTCAGCAGTATCTATAAGATAAATAGAACTTTACACGGCCGCTCGGTGATACGAATTTTATACTCTCGTGCTGAAAGTATCTCTGACGAGTGAGCGAAGCGAACTCGTGAAAGATATTTACAGCACTCGAAGATAAAAAAAAAACCTATCCCCGCGCGGCTATGTGATATCCTCTATTTTTTTAGCCTATTTCTCTCCGATATCAACATACCTAACATGATTAAAAGTTCAATCATGGAACACAGGCTAAATGTTTAAAACTAATGATATGAGTGATGATATGCTTGTTGATGTTCAGTTGTTCACCAGTCTAAATTATTTGTAAAGTTCATGATAATCCTATTTAGAAAACGAGAATATACTGGAAACCTCAGTTTGGAAGCGTTAGTCTAAAGTGAAATATCACGGCAGTTGATACTATCCTAGTGCTACGTCATTCATCGGTTTAACATTGCATTCTTTTTCTTTACATGCAGTTGTTTCATATGAATATATTCATATAACTGTCGCACTGTTGCATATATCAAAGTATAGGCAAAGTTTGATGTGCAAATGAGGCCAAGAAATGTGAATAGGACGCAGCGTGGCCGAGTGGTTAGGGTGCTGGACTTGTAATCCAGTGTCCCGGGTTCAAGTCCTCCACCCTGCCACTCACTGGATTTGTTCTCGGTTTCCCCTAGTTCAGCTCCTCGGCTGCGCTTTTTAAATAGCCTATTGGTCTGCCTCCTGCCAGTGGGGATTTTTAAGCGCTTAACTAGTCTGTATTGTGATACTTTGTTCGGCATATTAGCATGTATTGTGTTACAAGGATAGGAATTGTCTGGAAGGTTCGCGAAAATCAATGTCTCGCAATATGTTGTTTCAAGAATTTTCTAAAACTGTGACTCATCAGTTTAAAAATAGAGTTTAATGTAACAGTTATAAATAGTTACTATTGTAATAGTTATAAATAGTTACTATTATAATGGTTACAAATAGTTACTTTTGGAAACTTCTAGACTCTCTTCGGATGCTTATATAAGCGGCTCGCTAGTCAGGTTGTTGTTGCGATTTGGGACTTGTTTGTGATCTTTAAGTGATATTGTGTGACAAGTGACAAGTGAAGGGATTTTCCCGTTCGGATGTGAGTCGACTGACATTCTGCTGTCAAGTCCAAAGTTGTTTACAGTGGAGTGCGATACGTCGAAGGAAGTCTTCAGGAGTTTTCGCCAAAGAGAAGGAGAGTACTTTGCTTGTGGTCAGATAAGCGTAGATAAGTACATAGTTAATTGTTAGTTGGATTGTTCCAAGAGTAGTCGCTAGCTCGTGTTAAGTTACCTCCCGTCGTTTACAGTTAAATAAATTGTGTTTCGTGGAAATAGCGAGTTTTATTACCTTTCTGCCGGTAATCAGTTACCGTAACAATTGCTAGTGGCCTAATCCGCCTCAAAAACCCGAGTTGAAATAAAGTTACCTTAATAGGGTCATGTCATCACAATAATTCTCAATGCTGAGGCGATCCTATCGAAAAAATATTTTAGTGAAGCACGTCTTGGGACGGAAGTCGTCTCAAAAACACGCGAGCCGTTTGAAAAACTCTTGATCGCTTGTATGGAGTTATATGATGAGTTACGTGTAACTGAAGCCGTGGGTATATGAAGGGCTTCCAAACCAAACATATCATTTGTCAAAACCACAGTCCCGAAGGACTAAACACGTTACCCATCAAAAGCCAGTCGGGTGGACTCTCGTAATAACTGCAGCAAGATTTGCAAAATTTGTTCCATTATGAGGTATTTACGTGTACTAGTGAGCTTGATTATCCCGGAGACAAAACTTTACAGTCCATATTCTGTTTTCATTCTGATACTTTGATCCGTAATTTCGATGAAGCCGCTAGAAACTCCCGCCGCTGTCACGAGGAGTTTTCCCATCTCATCATTCACAGTTATCGTAGGTGATTTCATATTTGATCCTCCCTAAATAGTAGAAAATTGAACTTTAGTTATAAATTGTAACTGAATCAGAGCTTGCATTTGGAATGTACTACACCACTTTTTTTACATCTTGCAAACGTATCGTATTCGTCTTTTGCGTGTGATTTCAAGATTAACTTAAGGTAAGACGCATTGTGGAAAGTTGAACTTTATTTTACAATTGATAGCATTTGAAATGTACTGTCCTTTTTGACATCCAACCTACCTAGCTGGCAGTTTTCGCCGGACTGACGGAGCTGTGTTTTTGGTCATTAGACACTACTTGGACCTTTACTACCGGTTATGCCGGGTTTTAAGAATCATAACTCATTCATCGACACTTCACTTGAACGGTGAAATCATTGTTATAACATAGATATATCAAAATAATTTTTGTGCATAGGGTTTTCAAGGTTATCATAAAGGAAATAGATTAAAGAGAACTCAGCGAAAAAAATCATGCAAAAAATTTTGTAAGTTACCATCCGCCGCAGGAGGGTATTTGGAATCACGACACATTCGTCGACAGTTCACTCGAACTGCACGATCATAATATTACAGCATCATTTCATTAAAACAGTTTTTCTCTATAGTAAAGGTGAAGGCTGTGGGCATTTATGTAGGAAGTAGAATAGAAAAGACTTAACTCAAAAACTTCAAGGCAGTATAAATTATCTAAAGTTTCTACATATTAATTTTCCACCTCTATTTCGCTTTTAGACTTAAAGCGAAAAACTTGACGCAACCTGACTATTTAAAGTTCTTTAAGTGCCAAAAAAGAAACATTAAGCTCACTAGATTTGTGTCGAGCAATTTATGAATTTTTGTTTCGGTTCATTCTGAGGTTTGAAAGATAACAGGAGAGAGTTAAATGAACCACAAAAAAAAGGTTTAGAATTCTGTTAGTCACTTGCCTGCGTGCAGACGTGTCCTATTTCCTTTGTTGCACACAACCAGATCTCAGTGCCTTAATTACCATATCGTGAGATGATTTCATGTAATGCAATGTAAAAATATCTCTTTTCACCAGGCAATAAATTAGTCTTTTGCAAAAATTGTGAGAAGAAAACAACATGAACACAAACATTCCCGTCGAGCTCTTTGTAACCAAATGGAAACCCAAAAGTTATCTCTGTGTCTTGATTGACTTGATAATTTTTGTTCTGAATTTGTTTTTAGAAGAGAGAACACTTCGCGCACAATTCGCATGCGTTTACAACCTGTGGTCTAATGCAGAACTGAAAGATACCAGAAGCCCCTGTTGAAACAAAACTGATATTAGAAGAGTGATAAAGGGAAGAATTAATCAAACTCTGCCAAACTATGTTTTGAGTGTATTTATAGTATTCTTCACCAAAGAGCGGAAAATACATTTCATGACGAGATTTACTTGGAAATGAGATTTGTGAGGGGGTTATCATGCCTTAGTTGGTATGCAGAGGAATTCAGCAGCGATAATCTTCGTGGCAACTTATCGTGAATCATATTAAACAAGACTGTAAGGTCTAAAATTACAACTTTTTATAAATTCTAGTGTCTAGTTAGTTCGGGGATTCCGCGAACTAATATGTGGCAACGCAGGTAAAGAGAAGATAGATTCACATCACAGGGCACTTAAAATACGTATTATGTTCTTGCACATAATTTCTCCATACCATCGCCGCCGAAATGACGCTTGACCATCTGTCCCCTCGTGCGTCATCATGCAGGGATATAAGTTAAGACTCAAATTAGAGTCGCATCAGTTAACATCGAAAATTTCAAACAGGAGTTAGGCTTCAAAATCCAAGAGGGTGGCCTTGTGTCAACTTTTACAGGCAGAGTTTTTGTATAAGTGTTCCATTAAGAGGTATGTAACTGTAAGTTCAGGCTTGGTGTTATCCGTGTTGCCATTACAAGATTTTAATCCTGTTTTCGATGATCTTGTTGGAAACTCTGACTTCTGTCGGAAAGGTTTTCTCGTCTAGAGTCGAAAAAATCGCGAGAAAAGTAGGTGTTCTTGATTTTATTTTACACCGATATTTTTTTCACTTCTATTTCGCTTCAGATTTTTAGCGCAAAATTTGATGCTTCCAAGTTGTTTTCTTATTTGTTATTAACAGCAATGAAACGTAGTGCTAACTTGAATTGTACTGAACATTACTTGAGAAGTCAATTTGTCCCAGTGTAAGGGTTCTAGGGATTGATTTGTTGTATATCTCAATATTCTATACACACTAAACACATATTTAGTATATATTTAGTGATTTACCAAATAGGAACTATAATTTAAGATTATTTGGTCCTTTCTTTTTTGTTCTTCACTATGAGATTACTAGATCACGCGAACAGTGTGAGGTTCCACCGAAAATTTCTCGAACAGACCATCGTTCTAAATCAAATTTTCTAAAATCGCACATGTATCAAGATTCCTCCTCTGGGCGTAATTTACTTTAATAATGCTATAATAGTATAATATACTAATAGTTTATCCTTTGTGCTAAGACTAAGAGAGAGAGAGAGAGAGAGAGGGAGAGAGATTGATCGAGGATCGAGGAAGTCAATTCTAGACTCGCTCGTCGAAAGATGAGATCGATAAGAAAAAGTACATCGACTTTAAAGTAAAGATCCATAGCTTAAGTGCAACAAAAGTTCATGAACAGCAGTTATATTTAACAATTATTCGCCTCAGGTTCGGTGAATATCGTCGAATAATCCCCGAGACGAAGTTGAGGGGATTATTCGACAATATTCACCGAACCTGAGGCGAATAATTGTTTTAGTATAATTTCAGAGCTGAACAACAGTGAAATTTCTAAATCATAACATTTTAGTAACATTTATTAACATTTTATTTTAACATTTTATATAAACCGCGCGGAGCGGTTTATATAGCGTTATATAAGGAACCGCTTGACCAATCAGATTGCTGGAAACTCTTTGCTCGGCTCTGAAATTATACTAATAACATATAACGCTCCCTAGATTTTGCAATGCAAATTAGTCTTCAGCGTTTTTGTCAATAAGCTCAGAAGCTGCGTGACAGTAATTCACTTCATTCGTGCTCCATCAAGCAGCTTGCTGACCAGGAAATAATTTGTTTTAAAAATTATTGAGTCAATGACTTTTTGCGTTGAAAAAATAACGTACATAGCAAAGAGCGGATCATGTTTATGTTTGCTGGAATAGAATTCAGCCCGTTGTCCTGTAAGAATCAAAGCATCAATTATAAATTCAAACAAATATATAGTACGATCTTTCAAGAGGTCGAGACCAAACGCAAACCTATTCAACCAACCATCATTTGGAGTCTTTATAAACTTAAGAGATGTAACAGAAAGCGAAAGCTATAATGGTCTCACTACGCTTCTAATTATAGCATCAACCCTTCTTGTAATTACAGCCGTAAGTTAGAGGCCAGTGAGCCACAGTGCTTATCAGTTCTTTTCATGAGCACGTTAGAAATGTTTAGCGAAGGAGTTATTCTACTTCAACGTTTACGTTGTTGTCGAATTTTCACACTGACAAACGATTGAATAGATAGGAGAGCTAGGTGGTAGAGCAATTCTATGCGTAACTTTTTTTTCAACATTTATTCTACTCAGGCTTACGTAATATGAGATTACTATGACCATATTTCAACCATAGTCAGTGCAACCTCGTAGAATGATTGATATTGAGTCGTTGATCATGAATAAAACTCCTATAGATAACCACGTTTTTGTAATGCCACGGACATACAGGTGTAAACAATTCGTGTGTTTCTCGATTTGAAGGTTTTTTCCCGGATAAGGTATATCATCATTTGATTGTTCAGCTTAAGACGTCAAGCGTAGACGTTTCCAGAAAAGTGAACAATGCCCTAGCTGTGTAGTTTAGCCCTATTTTACTTCAAGCATCTTCTTGTTGACCGTGAGAATAATAAAAGGCGGTATTGTTTAAATATCACAGCTCAGCAGGCTATTGTTGTCAACTAAGAAACAGGACCCTACATGGATTTTCAATACATACGTTGTGAACAGAACATAGATGTTGCCGAAATAAGCCGATAGACGGCAAGCACATTTCATGAAAATTACTGTATCGCTTAAAATGGAGGAACTGACACACACTGCCTTTCGTAATTTTACCATTCGATATGAACCTCGGCATATATCTCAATGTTGTGAATGAAGGAAATGGCAGCCACGTCAGACTCCAGATGCAACGTTATGCAAGGTGAAAATGATGGCAAGTCACGCTGGCTTTGCAATGACATTAGTACCCCCTCAATCTTAGATCAAAGTGGGTCTGATCCTTCGGCTGATATCAGCGAGATTCTAATGGAAATCGACCTCTGATCCGCGCCATTTCAAAACAAATACGGCTATTGGGTTCAATATTTAAATCGTCAATCCATTATTGCATTCTTGAAACGACTAACGGTTCACTATACAAATATTCACTTCGTTAATACAACCGTAGGGATACGCTTCACTTGGTTAGACTGTATTAGACTTTCAAAAGATATTGGCCATTGCGACAGATGCATTAGTTTCAACACATTTAGTTGGTTGAAGACCGTTACTTTTTTTAGTTATACGAGCCAGTATGAAAGAGTCTAACTTAACTTAACTTATTCCTCTTCGTTCCCAGTGGAAAGAAAGATTCTAAAAGAGATTTAATTACTCTCTCTACATGTAAATAGTTATTTGTGATAATAATTAATCAAATTTTCATTTATTCCTTGAGGCATTCGTTGAAGCGCTATTAACTGTCATCATTCATATTCCCTCCAGTGCCATTTGACCACGGCTTATCAATAAATTGATACTGTGGGCGTTTGTTTGGCTCATCTTTTGTTGCGTCCGCTTAGCCTTGTTGATTGTTTTGCAGTTAAAGTGTACACGCTTATTCAAGTTGCGGAAATAGCGAAAACAAAAGTCTTTGACTACGAGCGTGGGACCGTTTACCCCTGATTGGTGGACTTCTATATCGACTACTTCGGAAAGTCGGAAGTGAACTCCAAGCTCCTGCAAGAGCGT